GGGTTTGGCGCAGTGGATAGAATGCCAGCCTGTGAACCAAAGGGTCCTGGGTTTGATTCTGGTCAAGGCTGTGTATTGTTACATGCACCTTGGTTGCAGGCTCCTCCCCAGCCCGGGGCCCTAGTTGGGGCTTGTGCAGGTGGCAACCAATGGATATGTTTCTCTCACATAGATGTTTCTCTCTGTCTTTCTCTCTCTCTTCCACTCTCTCTAAAAATCAATGGAAAAATATCCTTGGGTGAGGATTAGAAATAATAATAATAATTTGTTTAATCTTTATAATGCTAGGAGGTACTTAATATTAAGATTCCCGTTTTTCTAAGTAGGAAACTAGCATGGAGAAGCGTGGAGAGACTGTCCAGGTCACACAGCTAGTAGATGGCAGATGGAAATGCAGAGCCCCTGGCGCCGAACGCCCGCCGGTGCCCTGCTGTCTCTTCAGAGGGGTGTGGATGCGCGGCTCAGTCTTGGGGCAGGTGGGGGGGTGAGGAGGTTTGAGAGCAGGTCAGGGTGAAGCGGGCAGGGAAGAGGATGGGCTTTGTGCTTTGGAGAGCTGTGTGTGGGGGAGCGCCGGCTGCCCACGGAGTGGGGGAGCACGGGCTGGGTGGGTCCTGGGAGTTTTCCTAGGCGGGCACCTCACTCGTGCCGTCTCCATGCCCTTGGTGCAGGTTCGTCATCCAGCTGCTGGAGGACCTGGTGTTCTTTGTCAGCGACGTCCCCAACAACGGGCAGAACGTCCTGGACATCATGGTCACCAAGCCCAACCGGGAGCGGCAGAAACTGATGCGGGAGCAGAACATCCTCAAGCAGGTGGGTGACCACCATGGCCTGCAGCACAGACCTGGAGCAGGGGACAGGGAGCCAGGGGCACAGACCTGGGGAGGGGGGGACAGGGAGCCAGGGGCACAGACCTGGGGAGGGGGGGTACGGGAGCCAGGGGCCTTTTTTGTTTTGTTTTGTTAATCTTCACCTGAAGGTATTTTTTCCCATAGACTTTTTGAGAGAGTGGAAAGGAGGAAGGGAAGAGGGGAGTGAGGTGGGGTGGGGGGGTAGGGGGAGAGAGAAAGAGAAATATCGAAATTAATGTGGGAGATACATGGATTGGCTGCCTCCTGCATGTGCCCCTACTGGGATGGGGGATGGAACCTGCAACTCAGATGTATGCCTTTGACCCGGAATCGAACCCTAGATCCTTTGGCTCCCAGGATGACACTAACCACCGGCCAGGGCTCGGCCTTTCCCACCTCCAGTTGAGCTGCAATCCCCCTGCAGTTCCTCGTCACCCCGTTAATAAAAACTCTATTTAGTGAGCACTTACCTTGTGCCTGCCTGCACTGGCTCACATGATCCCCTCGGCCCGAGGGCCCGTTACTGCCCTTGTCCCAGGGAGACACGGGCTCACAGGGGCAGCAGCCAGCCCGCGGCAGGGCAGGCGGAGCTCAGGATGCGGGGTCCAGAGCTTGTGCTTAACTTTTTTTCTCTAAACTTTTATTACGAAAATTTTCAAATATTGAGACAGTATGGCTGCCAGGTGGCGCTGCGTCTCAGCATCCAGCCCACGCCCACGCTCGCGTTCCAAAGCAGGGCACCCCCCCTAAAGTTTTCAGCTCACACCTCCTGAGAATGGACCCGGGACTGTTGTCACGCCTAAGAAAGTTAGCAACGGTACCCAATCTGCATCCAATCTGCCTGGCTGGTGTGGCTCAGCAGTTGAGGTTTGACCTATGAACCAGGAGGTCAGGGTTCATTCCCGGTCAGGGCACATGCCCGGGTTTCAGGCTCGGTCCCCACTGGGGGTTGTGCAGGGGCAGCCGATCAATGATTCTCTCTCATCAGGGATGTTTCTCTCTCCCTCTCCCTTCCTCTCTGAAATCAATTTTTAAAAAAATACGTATTTTAGTTCAGCTTAGAATCAGCTGCGAGTGAATGTGGGGTGGCTTTGGGGCAGGGGCAGTTGGGGCTTAGGGTTCCTGGGTAATTAGGGGTACAGGCAGGTGTGGGAGATGCCTCCTCACGCTCTCTGCTCCCCCAGATCTTTGGCATTCTGAAGGCTCCCTTCCGCGACAAGGGCGGGGAGGGCCCCCTGGTGCGGCTGGAGGAGCTGTCGGACCAGAAGAACGCCCCCTACCAGCACATGTTCCGCCTCTGCTACCGGGTGCTGCGGCACTCCCAGGAGGACTACCGCAAGAACCAGGTGCCGCTGG